CACGGAAATGCTACGAAACATAACGAGAAAAATACCTGGCCTATATTCACTCAGGGTCGCAAGTGACGTTGCATGCAAGCATTATCATCTTGTGGCCCTTACAGTATTGACTATTTTCGAATCCACCATATGTACACCCTGTTTTGTAAAAGTTATTGGTATATTTCCCAACCGCGCGCGCCCTCATTGATTACATCGGGGTCACATGACATCTAACAATGAAACTGTTTCCCGCCAAAATCTCTTAGCGCGTAGCATTGCAAAATCTATGATGTCAGGTAATAGTGCTTGTTGACCGACAACCGCCGTTCAAATCAATAAGGAGCTTTAGCAAAGACGACGGCGATGTTTTTAAAATGAATTCGCGTTTTTGCAAACTTTGTTGCGTTTTTTCCAATTTGCTAAAAGTGTGAAATGTAGGCTAATTTCCCTAGAGTTGATTTCTTGAGGACCGCACTCAAGATTAGATATATAGAGAAAGAAAACTTCGTCGTCGCTTGTTATGTCCTCCATAGAAAGTGCTGATTAGTCAAGTTTTCATGTCGTAGTCCTGCTGTGACGCCAAAGAAAAGTACAAAAAAGCGTGATGCAGGTGCAAAGTTGTTGTTTTGATTGAAAACCTATTGCTTTTTTCACCGGTCCTCGTTGCCCTCGCTGTCGTAATAACTAAAGCTCCCTTTCCCTCGGCTCCGCCTCGAGAAACATTGAGATTCTCGGGAAACAAAATTAACTGTTTCCCTCGGGACCAGTCATTAAGTGTTTATTGTTTCCAAATGCACATGGGAATAACCAGTCATCCCTGCAGGAGTATTTGGAAACGTATCAACAGTTTATGCAACATTTGGGGCGAAAACATAGCGTTCTATGGCGGGGATTCGGAAGTGGAGAATAGGCTTAAATGACATAGATAGGCAATAACATTTTTACTGAGACGTACAGTATATATTATTACGTACATTTTAAACAGATTACAAATTACTGTATCTTAATTTAATATTATACATTCAGTATAGATTTAAAAGTATTTGTATTGTAAAAGACTTTGAAAAAAAAAAAAAGAATAAAAATGCGTTAAACCAACTGATCTGGTTTATCAGCAAAATCAAGAGCGTTTTTATAGATTTTTGTTGTATTGTCAGCATTCAATTCAGAGATGTTCTGAAATTGTTTTTCTTATGTTAAGTCAAAACCCAAGAAACTGGAAGAGGAATACGCTTTGTATGGCCAAAGTTTTTTCTTCCTAGCTAGCATACAGACCTTGCTTTTCAGTAAATGATACTTGCGAGGCACCGAATGTTTCGTTCCAAATACAGTCCACTCAAAATTTCATGATAAATCTTCTTTTCAGGGATGGCGCGGGAGCAGATAGAGGGTTGGTGTCGAAACCTGTATTCCACCGTACGGAAAAACCCTTACTAGATGCAAGCCAAAAGTAATATAAGTTTGTACTAATAATGGGAAATAAAACATGTAACAAATAAATAAAACCGTAATCATAACTGGACTATAACAAAATTCTCAAATCTGATTGGCTATCAACTGTCCTGATTTCATGCCTTATACTAAGTAATTTTTGGACAGCGCACGTTTTCGCAAGCGCACTTATTAAATGGCTCTTTTTTCACTACTAGCAAAAAAAACTCTCAGAATTTTTGTGTCTTAATTATAAAAAAAGGCTAAAATATCACAAATTTTGTTATAGTTATGATAAATAGGCAACAAAACTTCGTGTCGTCCAATTCGGTCTGTAATCATGGCTCGTGAGAGTAAATAAATCGGACTCCCGCTACTCGGTTGTCCGATTTTGTTAATCATTCGTATGATTACAGACCGAATGGGACTCCACTCAGTCCTTATATTACCATCACTGAAATAAGACAACGCAATTGTTTTCTGTCCAGTCTCCGTGAACGTGAATCTTCAGGGCGACTTAGCATTCGCAGACAGACAACAACAGTACGGTGATCTTATTTGCAATTTCTTAAGTAAGCCTAAATATTTGTTCTAAGTTTTATTTTACTTACAAACTCGTATTACGCTTGGTTTAACTGCGCCAGCTCGTTTTGAAATACCACAAGATTGCAATTCAAGATAAAAATTAGCAAAATACCGCGTGAAACAATTGTCTAAAACATCACTGCAATTGCATACTTTCTGTTTATCCTGATCCCTTTGAACGGAATTTTCTTTTCTTTTAATAATATTTCAACTTATCCCAATAACGTCAATTGTCTTACGACTTATCAGTGCCAACGGATAAATCAATACGCAAACAAAACACCTGGCTGAATACGGCTTAACGCTGTGAACAGCTTTGCATTGTCTTCTTCAGAATCGGCTCTGGTGTTTTGTGGTTAACAATAAATGAATTGTATAGAATTTGAAAGCCATCTGTTTGCACAAGAGATTTCAACTATAGCCTTCAAACAAACAATAACTTCAACAAGAAGCTGTGCATCACGAAATTTCTGTTCTTGAAAATTTAGTGACCGATCAGGACTTGTCAAACGCAATGTCGTGGATCAAGACCACTTACATAAAGTATCCAGAATTTAAACAACGGAGCCGAACTTTACCCAAAGAACAGGTTGACGCTATGGTTGCAAGATTAAACACAACTAAAGCGTTAGATGACCACGGAAATGCTACGAAACATAACGAGAAAAANGTGGTTAACAATAAATGAATTGTATAGAATTTGAAAGCCATCTGTTTGCACAAGAGATTTCAACTATAGCCTTCAAACAAACAATAACTTCAACAAGAAGCTGTGCATCACGAAATTTCTGTTCTTGAAAATTTAGTGACCGATCAGGACTTGTCAAACGCAATGTCGTGGATCAAGACCACTTATATAAAGTATCCAGAATTTAAACAACGGAGCCGAACTTTACCCAAAGAACAGGTTGACGCTATGGTTGCAAGATTAAACACAACTAAAGCGTTAGATGACCACGGAAATGCTACGAAACATAACGAGAAAAAACTAAGTCTAGAGGAGATTGATGAAATGTTGGAAAGGTTAGCGGATGCCTCCAAAAATAAGGAGAAAACACCGGAAAGACACCGAACTGGAGCAGGACGAGAAATGGGTGTTGTGAATACTTACGCATGGATCAATGGAAAATTGCTAAGAAGTCGAGTTACCAGACCAGATGGAAATTGGTATTAGTATACCTTCGATTGCCTTGCGTGTGTCTCAAGAAATTCTCAAATTCACAAAGATTTCTTGATCAGATGTTTGAACTAAAGGCCTAACCATTGCACGAGAGTATGCTTGGCCTTATTGTGATAGCCTTCTTCTACGATAATTCAGAAAAAATCAAAGATGCTGACTGATACCCAGCCATGACTGCACAGTGGCTAGAGAACAAGGGGCATGGTCACGGCTTCACTGTGCAGGCAGCAGTTTAGCTCAGTTTAGGTCGTCATAAGGTATTTGAATCATAAACCTGCTTTCCAAAAAGTAAGTGTGTAAATTACCAGTCAGTTTGAAGCTCCATTGCAATGATTACAACACTTTGAAATGGAACTGTGATCGGGAGATGAATAGCCTTTGTCATTGTTGTCATCTTTTCTCTGAACAAAGCACGCAAGGAAGAACGTCGACATTGAACGCGACGGTGGTTAAACTGGTAACTCTGTTCAAAAACTGCGCGAGGTTGCCTTTAGCAATTAAAAACAAATGTGTTAATTTTCGTAGTAGTGTAGTATAGCCACTGAATTGTTTCGTTGTACGCTGGCGTGTTCCCGCGGGTGTTTTCAAAGACGGGGTTTGAACTGTGAACTCTATTTAATTATATGTTCGTTTCTGAGCCTGTCGATGATTCTTTTGGTAAGGTCGATGAATACGTACATTGCGTTACTTTCCAAAGAGTTACTCTGCTGTTAATTAGAGGCACTTTTAAGGATACAAAATGCTTAAAACACAATTTCTCGAAATTTACTCAGCTTGTTCATAACGTCGTTTAATAAACCATAAATCCATGCCTACGAGACAAAACTTTGTTTGTTTTTGCCATTATCTGCGACGTGGTTTGTGTTTTTGCATAGACGCCTAACGGACTCAAGTTATTATTCTTAGATTGGCTTTAATTTAATTGTTCAGTTCAATTAAAATGAAAATGAGATGGAAGAATCTGTCCACATTGCACTCAACTTGATATCATAATCCCTTAAAGCTAAAAAAAATAAGACGGATAACTGCAACTCAGTAATCTCAGATAGGTGACTACAAGCGCATCATACGGGTGAACAATCCGGCTTGTTATTCATAATTCAGGAAGGTGACAAATAAAAACAAAAGAACATATGTCTATTTAGACTGCATTTTTGAGACAAAGGCCTCTTTCAGCAACTCACCCTCAATTGAGTTGAGGTCTTAGTAAGGACGGAGGCTTCGTGAGTCGAGTTCTAATTAACGGTACACCAAGAGAGGACCTTTTACTCAGAGAGTTTGAAGCTGACCTGAGATGTATTTGATTTTAAGACTTTTAAAAACCTGTCTAACACTCAAAGAGATTCTGGTCAAGTTTAAAATTTTTGTGCATCTATAAGTGGCGCACAAGTAAAACCAAGCTTTCATTCTGCATCGGTGTAGTTGTCCCATTTACTCTGCTCAATTGTAAGACTTGAACTTGCTATAATTTGACAAAAAGCAAAAGCAAAGTTGATGACAAAGATGCTGCTGCTGCTGCTGATGATGATGATATGTCCTGGTCCCTTCCACGAACGCACAATTGAGCTCGCACTGCGCATGCACGAATTGCCTGTGCCATATAGCGGCCGAGAGGGACCTTGGCACAACAGTTCTCACCGGACGAACTTGCTTTTGAGCGTTGGTCCTTACAAATTTGTCAAGGAGACGTATAGAACCGTATAGAGCATCCTGAAAACCTGGTCCACGAATCAGCTTAAAGACTGTTGTGCGGTCGTACAGTCTTGCCACTTATATACAGTAGCTACATTGGGAGTATTGTTCAGTTCATGCCAAAGACACTATGACTTCGCAGCCGTGGGGAACTATAACCAAACCTCCTTTTGAACTGGGATATCAAAAATTAGACAGCGAGGAAATCGAAAACGTGGTCGAACGTTTAACCAGACCAAAAACAACTCCAGCACAACAGAAGAAGCGTCCGCGTCCAGCGATCGAAAAGCGAGCGTTGTCAAGGGACGAAATCGACGCAATGGTTGCCCGGTTAGCAAATAAAGAAACAAATTTGGACAAGACACCGGACAGGCGGAGAATTCATCAATACAAGAGGGAATGGGGAGTTGTTCTTAATTCCTACGCCTGGAATGGTTGCAATCACCAAGCTATACTTTGCGGAGAAGAAAGCCCGTGACCTATGTCACTTTAATATAATTCAGACATCTTAAGTGTCTTTTACTGTCTGTCACGCATCGATGTAAACGCAATCTTTTAGCTTATAAACAGTCATCGTTTGTGTTAAGCGTTTCCGGGCGATTTCTCAGCAAAGAACATTTTTCGCACCGCAAAAACCGAAAATCCCGTTCTTCGTTGTTCCTCGCTCTTTCTTTGCTCCGAAACCACAAGGAAACGAATTGCTACGAGGGCTAGATGAGCACTTGCAAGACATTAGTTCAACATAATTTTCCAAGTAACCGAATGGGCCATTGAACTTGACAGCGGTTATGATCACTAGTTTCCCATTGCTGCGCGACGCGAATAAAGCTAATAAAATGCTTTGCATACTGATTAGACTGAACTCTGGATGAGAGATAGCTCTGCTTTCGTTTTCTTAATTTAAAACAGCTCATTCATGCGGCCTCTGTGATTTTAACAAGAGTTTTACTCTGTTGTTGGTTATCTACGTGTTTGTCGCAAATTTTAATCTCCTCTCCTTTTCCTACCCTCTTAATAGAAGGCTTGATGATAAACTAAATTTACATTTGTATACAAAGACGGAAAGGTACTATGACTAGAAAAAACTGAGTATGACTTAAGATGTGTATTTTCAAGCATTTTAATAAATCATACCCAGGCATCAAGAACAACTGATTAAGGGCTGTTGTCGAAAAAAGAGTTTATATTTGTAGTGCGCTGGCACTGTTATGTCATATATCGTTAACTTAATTTTAGAGTGGAAACTTAAAAAGTCGATCGCTTTCAATTACAGAACAGCTGCAGCCGCTAATGGTATTAATTGGTTGAAAAAAATTCCGTGTTGGCTGGATTCATTTGCGGAGAACTGAAATTTTAATTACTCGGTCAAAGTCAAACACTGTCAAGAAGAATAGACAAATAGTTTTGCCTGTCTGGAGTGCTTTGTTATGGAAATTGAAGTAAATCGCATGCGGATTTGACACAATTCATTAGTAAACACTGCTGTTTTCTTGTGCTTTGGTTTCGAACGAGCAAGACTTTAAATTAACGGGAAAAACTGTGAAACAAAATGGCTAAAAAATCATGGGGAACTATTACTCATCCGAAAGAAAGGAATCCGAATTGTCTAATGGGGTACCAGAAAATGACAGGAGATGAGGTCCATCGAATGGTTAACAGGCTGTATGAACCTGACTGGGTGAATCGCACTGAACGAAAACAGCCAGAACCAAACAGACGATCCAAAGTGGAAGTCACAGATATGGGAAGTGAGGAGATTGAAAAGATGGTGGACAGGCTAACAAGGAATGCAGAGAAAAAAGTCACGGATAGTGATCGGACTGGATCTATGCGAGAACAGGGCGTTGTGAACACGTACGCTTGGAAAGGATGGAACTAATAACTAGAATGCGTGGCTCCTGAGAGCAGGGAGCGATTTTCTTATTGCTTCTTTTGAGGTTCAATACATGCGCTACGCAGGCAAGGAACTGCCTAAAAAAAAGCACTTTATTTGAGTGTCAATGTATTTAGCACGAAAGTACTAATTGGGGACACTATTTATACGTCTCCTACTGGAGGCGGGACCGCCATTTAACGTGGTCATCCGAGCCATGTGAAGGTTTAGCGATTTGAAGGGCATGCGCAAAGGCAGTGCCTTCATTTCTCAGTTATTTTAAGACCCTGAGTATTGGAGTACACTGCCTTGGGGGACTCCTGCTGAGATTTCTTTCTATTTTGAGTACTGGTCACCTTAACCCGCTCAAGTCGATTGGTGTTATCGTCAGCTCCATAAGATTTAAGGTATCGAATGCTTTGGAAAGGTCCATCGACACAATTCCAGTGATATTATATTGGTCAAGTTCCTTTCTCCACTGTTCTGCGAGGATTAGCAGAACAGTATCCGTTCCATGATTTTTCCTGTATGCGAATACATGTTCAAAAAAATATCTTCAAAATAGGGACTGATTCTTGAATGAATTTTAGTTTCAAATACTTTTGACCAAGGCGGCAAAATAGTTATCGGTCTGTAGTTAGCCTTGATCAAGCAACAATCCTTCTTGAAAACTCGTGAGACTTCTCGGAGTTTCCATCGTTGAGGTAACTTAGACTTATCTAGGATAAAGGGTGGCACAGTATTTCGGCAGATTCTTTTATGGCTCTCGGTGGAATACGATCACAGCCTGTTGCCTTGTTTGCTTTGATCTTCATCATAGCTTCTTTTACTTTGGCGGGGTTTGTTTTCCTTGTCCAGGGCAATTCTGTAGTGTGTTTTTGAGTGCACATTGCAGGGATATTTGACTGAAACTGATCTTCACGAGCTTTAACCCATATACTGATGTGTGTAAGTTAGCTAAAGCAGATATCTTTCAACTGTTCAAGAGCCAGAAATGCAATCAATCAATCCATCAATCAATCATCAGATGTTATTTAGATTTAAGGAGTGAATACCATTGAGCAGTTGAGTAGTTTCTTCTGTGATGTAATTATATTTTCAAAACACTTGAAAGAGATGTTGCCAATTAGACAAATAAAACTTAATTTCTTGGGCGAAGCTTAATGTGGTCAAAAACCGGTTTTCTCTTTTTCCCTTTAAACATAGATCAGTACTTGTATGTAGCAAACGTCATGCACCAAACGAACCGCCCTTGAACACTCGAAAGGTGCATGCCTACCATGCCACCATGGTCAAACTTCTGAGGCGTTTTTTTGTGGAATTTCTTAACTTTTTTCTTATTTTTCTCAAAATTATAAGCGTCTTTCCGCGTAAAAATGATGACACTGATTGACAACTGGCAGTACGATCATTGGCTTCAATTTTAACACTTATATAAAACTTTTTTTACTAAACTTTCCAAAAACTTATATGTAAATCATCCCTGTGTTGTTAATACAAACTTTGAGTACTGAAAGCAATAACCTTAGCTTGGAGTTACTTGGTAGCTAATTAGCTAACTTTTGCAAATTTTTCTCGTGTGACGGCGGGGAAGCCTACATACGGCTATAAAGAACGCATACCGTAAAATTCCGAAAATAAACCCCTCCATGTTTAAGCCCCTCCAAATATAAGCCCCCCAAACCGGTAACGCAAAAAACGCTCTGTTAAATCGCCCCTCCAAATATAAGCCCCCCGGGGGCTTGCACTTAGAAAATTGCCATCAAATACAATGAATAACAAAGCAAAAACGGTAAATTTACTTCCAACTATACGGTTAGCCCAATCGATTTTGAAACACAAATTTCCCTCCGTAGATAAGCCCCTCCGAATATGAGCCCCTCCAAAAATAAGCCCCTCAAAAAGGGCCTTTGAAAAATATAAGCCCCGGGGCTTATTTGCGGTAATTTGAACTTAACGTCGCTGTTTATAGTCAACAAAAAACTCCCCGCGCTCAGTACTCCTCTTTCTCCCAAACGTCCAAACTCACCTGTGTTTTCCGTAAGTACACCCCCGGACCTAAACTAGGCTTTATGATCCAATATATATCACTCGAATCATGCTGCGTCAAAGGAACCGGTAAATCCCATCTGGATATAAGCCATCGGTATCTTCAGTCTGTTGTTACTTGCCACTACATGTACTGGCTTGTGTATTCGTTCTATAGGCTGTCGCTGAAAGCAGGCACTTGATATTCATAGAAAAAGTAGTAAGTTTTCGATTGCTGCGCTAGGACAAAGCGTAGCGTCCTTTTACGCATGCACATACACCCGTGCGTTCATGTACAGCTGAAATATGGAAAAATTATATACGTTTTACTTCCTGAAAAAGCCATTTTTCATCATTAAATCGGGATGACTGATACATTTTTTCACTATATTGGTGTATTTGTGTTAGTATCGCTTTTAATATTCCATAATTCTGATGACGTCAGACATTGTACCTTACCGACAACACTAGGAGTGGGTAAAATAAACAACTGAATACTGCATTTTCCTGCGTATTGATTTGCTGAAAATGTCCTCCGGGCCCCTTTAGGTTGGGCCGCCTTCGGCGCTACAACTATTCTTTCATGATCAGTGCATGCGTACACCTTCAAAATCTCACGCTACGTCCCTGCATAAGTTTATGATACAGCCAGGCTGTGTAATGCAAGAGCCCAATACAACACCAAGGGAGGGTATTAACAGTAGTAACGGCCCAGCAGGTTTTTGTTTCAGTTACAGTATTCCAACAGAAAGCCTTTTTTTATTAACTATTATTTCAATTTAGCCAATAGTAAAGATAATAACGCTTCAATTTACGCCAGTTGCCGTGACAACACTTACAAGTTTATCAACATACCGTAACATGAAAGGCTCTCACCTGCGTCTCAATTAAAAATAAATAAGACCTAATTATTTCCCTGCTTTTTACTGGATTTCGAATACAGATAGCATAGGGTATTAAATAACATCAATACTGTAATCGCGCCTCAGTCACCAGCTTCAACAATGGCTTACGCTCGCGACTACTGCGTACCCTCTCAAGATTCAATTCAATCCCAGGTTCATTCTCAGATTGAAAACCTGAATAGAAGACTAGAAGAAACCAGCGATTTACTCCGGTATTCCGCTCCGAGAAGTAGGACAAATGATCGTCAACAGCGTGACAGGCTGGCACTCAGACTAAAGAACATCGAGGAACTGAGGGAACTTCCAAGAGTTCATAAACGCGATGATCGTGATGACTCTAACAGTTCGTGGACGACCAAGGAGCGTGACGAACGTCCAAAAAGGGAAAGCCTCCACATTTTTTTCCAGTGGAGGAAGCAACTAATAATTTTCTACGACGCCCTTGGGGACGCTATTGAGGAACTATTACAGTTTGATGGCAGGAAAGCGCGTCGTGCAGTCGAAGAATTGTTAGAGCTCAAGGATGATATAGCGTCAAGTCTCGTGCGCACTGCTAAATGGACTCAAAAGGACCTGGACAGTCTAGTGTGCACCAACACTGTTCGAGAGCAACGAAGTTTTCAGTCATCCAAAAAGAAACTCAGGTCGATTGCACATGAAGCAGAAAGCGTCAGGCAACTTTCGCACACTTTGTCCACTCAAATGAAGGGTCAGCTAGAAGAGCTGAAGAGTGATTGCGTCGCCTTGGCAAAAGACCTGGTCGCTATGAACCGAATCCTGGAAGGGCGAAAACAGGCTTTGGTTGAATGAGGAACTTTGGAAACGGTCGTTTCGATACGAACTCACGCAGTGAAACTGCACAACATTTTCGATCACTTCAAGTATAGTTTACACGTGAGCAAGAAAACATTCCTTGTCCTTTAGGCCAAGAACGTGAAAAACACCTAGACTGAATCAACTTCTATCGAAACAACTTTGTATCGGAACGACCGGAAACTGGAGCGTAATTCCTTAATACGGACCTTGCTGGAAGGACAAAGTTTGACACTAATCCCACTGCGAAGAAGCTTGGAAGAGTTTAGGGCTTTTTAACTATTTACTTGCTTAAATGCCTGCCTAATCGTGATGACAATTTCTTCCACCAACAATAGGCAAGTGTCGAAATATTACAAATTCATAACGCAACTGGTTCCGAGGCTGAGGGGAAGAAAGCAAAATAAATGAATCATTCATCCCTCAATCTCAACGCGATTTCTTTTGTTTTATACCCTTCAGCCTCGAAGCTAAGTGGCAATTGTAAGAATTCGAAACTGGCAGTAATGATTTAATTCGGTTGCAAACTTCTGAGTTTTTGCCTTATCACTTGTAATTTGGTTTGCTCCGATCACCCCCAGCGTGGCGTGAAACCTACTGTTTGCACTAACTATAGAAAACTGTTTACAGGCAACACCAAGCCAATCTCAAAAACCTACAATGAAATTCAGCACGGATCAGCATACCACCCACCCCTCGATGTGTTACATCTTGCGATTACATTCATTTTAAGACCAGTTGTAACAAGCTGCGGTTTTCATAATGGATTTGATTGGACTCGCTTTCCTTCTAAAACGATAAATAATGAACCTACAAAGAAGCAAAATTTGACCACTTTTCAAATGGACCAACCCTTTATTTTAAAAGGAAGAAGTTGGGTAGAACTTCAATGTTTAATCCTTTAATAATATTATACTACAAGTGTCTCTGAAACAATTTTCTTATAATAAATAATGCATTGAAGTGTCTGTCCTTTTGCAGTTGAAAGAAATATAATACTTAATTTTGTCTTTTTTAAAATGGCCAATGACGTCTTAGGATTTCGTACAAACTTATTAACCGATTTTCAATTTATGAAGCCTAAAACTTCAAGCGAAACAAGCATGAAGCTTTTTCAAAAATCTCATGCTTTGTCCTCCAGTTCTCATAATATACATGGACTATGCCACCAAAGACCAAACATATATCCTTATTCGGTCGTTCTTTCCAGTTACCCTTGAACAAAATATCTATATACGTAAAACTATTAAATTCGAGGGTTACCAAAGTCTTCAAGCACCATATCATTTACCTAGGAACAACACGGTTTTGCGAGTAAGTTTGTTCCCAGGAAAATGTAGACCTTTTTAGAAGAGAAAGATTCAAAAGCCCACATCAACAGGGGTGTGTTGGGCTTCTTATTATAGTTCAAGGAGGAAGGGTTATTGCAGCCTCATACAAGTAAAATGAGTGCAGAGTGAAGACCAGAAAACATGAGAGAAACATATCCATCACCAGGGGTCGAAAAAACAGTTTACATTGTTATGACCACACTCCAATCAGAATAGAACCTTCCAAGAATTAACCCACAACCAATACACAACATGTACTGTACACTAAAAACATCTCAGAAAACCAACCCTGGAGAATGCAAGGTTAGCCTTGAAATGGTTTTCCAAGAGTTATGCCATCAACAGTTAGTTGTGGACCATGGTGAAAAGGTAGCGGTAAATTAAGGTGTGGTCACTCCACATATTTCCTCTCAAACTCAATCCTCAACCATCCTGAAAACGTAGACAGAGTACTAGACAGTGGATAAATCTTTACCAAGTGGATAGTGGAATTTTCTCTTAAAATAATACTCATCAACTGGACATCCACTGGATTGCTCTATCCAACTTTTGAACCATTTAGAGTCAGTTGATTACAGACAATGTTGGACCAAGAGATAAATTATGGGACCAAAAAGACAGGCAGTGAAAAAGAACCTATTATTTTTTGCCATTACAAATTTTAACACTATTTGCTGGACCTCATAAAAAGGACATATATAGAAGTTATTGTACTTGAAATGTCAAGCTAAAATGTGCAAGACCTGTTCTTCCCACAAGATTCATTGGTGAGTTATAATTTATTTTCAAGCCGCTTCTTATCTGATAAGAAAGAGAAGTAGATCTTGTGAGAGGAAACCACCATACTGTAAACTGCTGCTTAAAAACTGTGGGCAGCCTTATACATTGACCTGGGGGGTTTTATAACCAAAATAGACAAGAGCTTAGAAATAAGCTATAGGAGTGCTGATCAAGATACACTTTGCATTTACTAGTTTTTCATGGAAGCTTCAAAACATTGTGATTAACCAAATTCTTATCTCTCAGAACAAGAAAACCTAGGAGGAGGCTCCACTGAGGTGGGCGTTTTGGATGCATCATTTGGTTAACAGGTTGTTGGGGCCTATCACTGGGGGAAGGGGGAGACAGTTTATAAGCAGCACTTTACATTATTTCAGCATTGAAATACTGTAATCCCAGAGTTTGAACCACGCCTTTTACTTGACGGGTCTGTAACACAGAAGTTTCTATAACAAGACTAGACTATGCCACCCTTACAAAACCTACCAATACTGAGTTCACACCAAGACCAGAAACTCTTGCTAGTCTTTTCAATGAAATTTAGCCACAAAACTACAAATCACCAATTGGGATACTCAGTTTGCTTTCACTGTTTTTAAAAACAACATCAGTGAATGCCTCTAACATAACCTCAAATTATTCTTAAAGACCTGAGTATGAAAACCAGTCTTTTATGTACCATGTTTAGCTGTTACTTTCAAAACAATTGTCATGAGAATAAAGAAAGTGCAAATATGCTAATGAAGAATGTGTTATAGCACTAAAACATGTAGAGCTGATGTGAACTCAATATTAGCTAAGTAAGAGAAAGGGTGTAACCAAAGACTGTTAGTAGAAACAACATGCTACATGTACTTAAATAATAATAACATACTATCATAATATCATTATGCTTTCACCACAACATACTTATTATTAAATTCTACTAGAGCCATAACCAAGAGTCGGTGTAGGCAAAGAGGGAATCATGTCCAACAAATATTGTCTATCAGAGTCTGATACATAGCTATGATGATGTTGAGCGTTGCGGGAGCTGGAGTGATGATGCTGGCTCAAGTAAGGATGCCATCTTACATCAGCCTGCTGTCGTGCAGCAGCCTCCAACTCCTGATGCTGCTGTTGAAGGTGCTGCTGCTGAAGCTGAAACAACAGTGAGTTGGCATGAGGTTGGTGGTGATGATACAGAGGGGGCTGAACAGCTTGGTGGTGGTGATGAATCATGGGTTGGTGGTGTGTAATGTGATGACGTGGTGGTGCTGGGGCAAGGACTGGCTGAGGAGATGTCTTTTGACCTTGGTGGTGGGGTTTTGGAGCAATTGCTGGGCTGTCATTAATCTTTTGTTCTATCTCTTGTTCTTGTTTAAGAGCTTTAAGGAAAGCTGCCTTTAAACGAGCAGTGTGTTCCGCTTTGAGTTCCTTCTTCACATGAACAGTGCTACATTTTTCACATACAGTAACTAATCCAGGGCCACTGTCCTGCTTATTTGTCCATGATGGTGAGAAGTCAGTACCACAGCGTGAACAAACTTTGGGGTTTATCTTCTGTTCTTGCAGGGGAGCATTTAACTTTTTGGCATCTCTGTCTGCCATGACACTCACAACAGCCTCAAGCCCAACCAGCACCATAAAGTCTGGGCTACCAAGACTTGGGATGAATGACCACTCAGGAGGTGGTGGTTTTGGTGGTGGAATCTGAAGCAGGGTTCTCTCAAGCTGCTTGCGTAATGCCATCTTGGCAGCAGCTTGCTTTCCGCCAGCAGTTTGATGAGTGCTGCTTGGCAAGTGGTGCTGAAACGAGACATATCCGCTACTGGCTGGCAGACTGGTAACATTATTAGCTCTAACAGGAGTGGGCCGCACTGGGGAAGGTTGATTTGAAATTGAGTAGACAGGGCTGCCACGACCTCCACTGTGTGGCGGGTACAATGGTGTTGGCTGAATTAAATTAGCCATACATGTAACAACATTTTGAAGATCAGCAATCGCAGAGGAGCCAGGTTTAGGCTGAGCTGACTGTTGGTGCATAGCCTGTTGATGTACAGCAAACTCCTTTAGAGTCTGAGCTGCAGAACCAACAAACTTGGTTGAAGCTGTGTTTGATGCTGGTGTTTGAGAAGCAGCACCACCTCCCTTTGGTAACAGCCTTGGTTGGCCTGGTACATCCCTTGGGGGATGAAAGGTAGAGGATGCCAGCACTGTTGATGCCTTTAATGGTGGGGGAGGAGGGAGACTTTGTCCTTTCTTTTGAGGCAAATGCATAGGTGACTTCATGGGATGACTGGTCAGCGAAGCAGCTGATGGTGTTGGAGTTTTATCTACAACATTCTCTTTTTGTAGTTTGGAGTTACTTTTGATGTCATTTTGAGCAGCATGTAACTTTTTTAACAATAACAGCTTAGCTTCCTCATGCCTCAGTTCATTTCTAAGATGAGCAATCAGCTTTTCTTTAGCCTGTAGGTCATCATCATTTTCGTCGGACAAAGGTGATTCTGGCCTTGACCCATCACTGTTATCACCATTAACAAAAGCAATCTCAGCCTTTGCGTCACCATTTAATTTTCTTTTACTATCAAGAGAGGTCAATTTTGGAACTTTTAAAAAGTCAACAATACTCTCCTTTGGTCTGTGAGTTATCACAGGTTTCTTATCAACTCCATTTGCATTAGCAGACTGTACAGTTGAACCATTATTACTTGTTGATTCTTTCTTTTGTAATTCTTTAACTGAACTTAACCCCAACTGTGCCAGAAGGTCTTCTTGCGAGATGCACTCATCTGAGTCTGAATCTTTGCTGTCCACTTGTGAGTTTACAGAAGTACTCTTCTGTTTACAGCAGACCTGTTCATTGGACTCCTCCTTTGATGGCAGATCACTTTTCTTATCAGA